TCTTGTACACACTAAAGCCTGAAAATGACTACTTTGATGAGTAGAAAGGGAGGTCCTGAATAGATCCTGAAGAGGGCCAACCAGGAAATCCTAAGTTTAGAGCACTGTACCAGAAGGAGAAACAAAACTTAAATTTTCAAACTAGTCTCTCTACCCCTAAAAGAAGAAGAAAAATGTGCCTTGGCAGCACTGCCATGAAAACAACTGAAGATGACTCCTACACAGCAGAGTTGTTCAGAAAGAACCACACTGCACTGATAATAATCAATTTTAATAATGAAGGCTAATATGTTTTGGATAGAAGACAAGAATAAATTAAAGAAAAGCCTGCAAATGACAGGGTGATGATGAACAGTATGTCTTTAAAAGCACCAAACAATCTTTTAATTGAATGTTTAATTTTTTCCTAACACTATTAAGTTTTTTTCCAGTAGGGTACTCACATTGTTATACATGCATTTTGTAAACTAAAATTATCCAAGTGGTTCTGGCATTTAGGGGAGTCATAGCCAGGCTGTGCGTGTACGGAGAAAGGAAAGATGGCTGGGCTAATTCACTGGTTCTCAATAGCAGCAGGTAGCAGTGGGGTGGGACCCCACAGGATATTCGGCAATGTCTGGCGACATTTTTGGTTGTCACAACTAGGGGGATGATACTGGTATCTGGTGGGTAGAGGCTGGGGATAGTGCTAAACATCCTACAATTCAAAGGACAACCCTCACAACAAAGAACTATCTAGGCTAAAATGGCAGTTGTGCTGAGGTTGGCAATGCCAACGCTAAATGAAGAGGACTGGTCTTCAAGGTACTGGAAAACTTGTGGGTGCATCTAGACATGTATCCCAGGATTCACTGAAGGTACACTATGACTCCTCCAAAGATATCCCCACAGGAGTCTCTATTTGCTGTGGAGGGTACTCCACATACTGCACAGGCTGTGTGTGGACTAACTCTTCTCTTCCTCTTTCTAAGCTATTCTTTATCACATCCTTCATTTTATGTATTTATTTCTAAACTGTTTTATTAGTCTCAAAGGCAAAACTTCTTCATTTCTAAGTAAACAAACATAATGACCTGGGCAAAAAATACAGAGCTAGTGAAAGAACCTTAAAAACATTCTAGAACAATCTCCTCATTTTCCAGTTGGAAAACTGAGGCCCACAAACACTTGGTGATTTATTTGTGGAGGAGGAAACCATCTTATTTTTTTTTTTACAAGGTAATTAAGTTCCTGAAAGGACTTGGTCATCTTGTCTTATGTGACAAAGGAGTATGCTTCTTTTTGGTTACTGCCTTATTTAAAATCCTAAGTCCATCATTTTGATCACATTATATAAGCAGAGTTTTTTTTTTTTTTGTATCTTTGTGGATTTATGTTCAAAATGAGGAAAAATATTAAAAATCTTATGCATCCTATTTTTAGTTCCAGTGTAAGACGTTTGTTTAAAATAAGAGATTTTGCCTTGAAAAAGGTGCTTGCTTGCCTGGTCTCATGGTAAAAAAATACACAAATAGAGAAACACATTCGTTTTCATGTGCCAGTGACTTATTAAAATATAGCCCATACATAAATAGAACAGAAGTACATTTCTTTCTTTTTTTTAAAGATTTTTATTTATTTGACAGAGAGAGACACCGTGAGAGAGGGAACACAAGCAGGGGGAGTGGGAGAGGGAGAAGCAGGCTTCCCACAAAAGTAAATAGAAATGTAGATCCATAGTAAGGAAAGAACAAGTTAAAACTTGTAAGTTGCTCTATCCTTTCAAACTTCAACTCACCTTTCTCCTGGATCTTTTATAAGAATGTTTGTGAGAAAGACCAATCTACTGAAAAATAAGGACTGGAAAATCCCTCGTGAAATTAACAGAACAAAACCCAACTTCTGAAGGTATTTGTTGCCTCTAGTTAGTTGTTCAATTGTTTTCTCTTCTCATACCTTATATAATGTGGTTTTACTGTTTATTTCAAGTACCCAAAATTAAAGTGGGGGAATGCATTTGCTTTAAGAGGTCACAGTTCAGATGGGTAGATGGAGAATTCTGCTAACATGCTTTCTAGTCATCAATAAGATGACCTGTTCTCTTAGAATATTTGTTATCCTTGAAAATTAAATGCCATTCTGCCTTGTAAAGTGAGCTAGCCCGGTCCTTTCTATTCTTAACAGGTTTTGTTTGGTAGTCTATGAACTACATAGTAATAGTAATGCTTACTATTATCCAATTCATGTTAGTAATAATTATAAATTAACAAAACCAAAAGAATCTTTCATTTTTTAAAACCATGTCTCCTCTCTTCTTACCACTAGTCTATTTTTTATAAGCTCATGGCAAGACTTGTATGTATTCCCTTCCTCCACTTCCTTACTACTTTCCAATCCTTCCTCAAAGAAGACTAATGTGGCTTCTCTTGCCATCGCTCTGCAAACTGCTCTCACCAAGGGACCCAATGACCTCCTACCACTTCAAAGGAGATATATTTTGTACTAATTTTACCTGATACTCTCTCCTCTTTCTCCCCTTTTCTGGCACAACATTCTCCCTGTTTTTCCTTAACAACAGAAAAATTGTTTCTCATGTCCATTTTGGTCTCCTTCTGAGCACTGAGCATCGCAATATTTGGAAGTAGAAAGAGGAAAAGGACCCAGGAAAGAACCCTAGGAAGAAGCAACAGGATGAAAACCAGATGGTGAGGTCACAAAAGCCAAGTCAGACAGCACAATCCCCAGCTGCCAAAGCCTAGATGACAGTCCTCATCCCTTCACTTCAGTGAGCCATTAGGAACACTCATTCCACACTTTCAAGATGTCTCAAATACTTCCATTCTATCCATCTCTTCTACAAATAACTTTGTTATTTTTCCTCTCATTATTTCCCCTGCCTTTATTTTTATCTTACTTGTTTTAAAGATTTATTTATTTATTTGGGAGGGAGAGAGAATAAGCAGGGGGAGCGGCAGGCAGAGGGAGAGGGAGAAGCAGGCTCCCCGCTGAGCAGGGAGCCCAATGCGGGGCTCGATCCCAGGACCCTGGGACCATGACCTGAGCCGAAGGCAGATGTTTACCTGACTGAGCCACCCAGGCGCCCCTCCCATGCCTTTAAAATTAGGCTTTCTGCTTCTAGTACTTTCCTCCTCTAATACTTTCTTCCTGTTGTAACATAAGTAATTTTCAAAGCACAAATTTGGTCACATTACTTTCCTGCTTGAACTGTTATCCTAAGGATGTTGGGGAACCAGTGAAGCATCCAAAATCCTATACACAAAAGACCTTTCATCATTTGGCCTTACTTACTTCTACAGAGGAATGCATCTTGCTTTTTCTCAATATTTGTGCTCAAGTCACATTTGATAACTTTATGTGGTTCCACATCTCAGGGCTTTCTCTTCTGGGCCTTTGTGATCCTCTGCTGCATCATTTTCTCTTCCCACATCACATCTAACTGCTACTCATCCTTTAGGTTTCATAGTAGATACCATACTTCCTCCTCCACCTACAAGCCAGGCTAAACGCCCCTTTGTGTACTCCCACAGCACTCTGGATACACCCTTCCTGTACTCTAACCAAACTGTATTATACTTACTTGCATGTTTTGTATCCAAAGAGTGTCTGGGTTTCATTTGTCTTTCTGTCTCCAGAGCCTAAAATAGTCTCTCAAGTGTAACAGGCACATAATACAGTGATAATCCATGATATCAGGTAGGTAGAGGAGTCAGTGAATATCAACACCTGGTTAACTAGAGTCAGATGAAACTATTTCTATTATTGCACCAATAAGAAATTCACATGTACATCAAAGTAGCTTCCAAAATCCTTAACTAGTCAATGGCAATAGGGGCAGTGCAGACAGGTTTAAAATTGGCAAAACGGGTCTGTTTACAGTGTCCTTAGAACAGAGTTTTAAGGAAGAAAGGGACATAAAATAAGACCTTTAGAGAGATCGATCTGACAAGAGGAGAGCAGCTTAGGTGACTACATTTGGAATACCATTCTACTTTACATTGTCTTGATTACCTAGGAAAAGCCACGTGGTCCACTTAACTCCTCCCTAAGAGGTAGGGAAGTCTATGCCCTATTGTACTGTGGATAGTGGATCCCTGGGAATATTCTTACATACCCAGCATCAAATACAGCCTGAGATATGGGAAAAGTTCAATTAAATAAATAAATAAATAACTAGCTAGCTTGTGTTCAAGCCAGGGTGTCTAACACTAGCCAGTCATTTTAAATATGAGCTGTTAGTACAAACAGAACGAAAAACCTAAGCCAGCATTTGCAACAACATGGACAGACCTAAGAGGGTATAATGCTAAGTGAAATAAGTCATACAGAAAAAGACAAATACCATAAAATTCCACTTATATGTGGAATCTCAAGAATGAAACAAATGAATAAACAAATAAGGAAAAAGCAGAGACAGACCCATAAATAGAGAGAACAGACTAATAGTTCCTAGAGGGGAGGAGGGGTGGAGGATGGGCAAAATGGGTGAAGTAGACAACAGGAGGAATAGGTTTCCAGGTATGGAATGAGTAAATCATGGGGATGAAAAGTACAGCATAGGGCATATAGTCAATGGTGTTGTAACACTGTGTATGGGGACCGATGGTACTACACTTGTGGGGAGCACAGCACAACATAGAGATGTGCTGAATCACTATGCTATACAAGTGAAATTAATGTAACACTCTGTGTCGACTATACTTCAATTAAAAAAAATAAAAACAAAGTAATCTAGTCCCATATGACTGAGTAGTAAACTACTATAAATTTTTGAAACGTATTCAAAGTATCTGTCCTACCAACCATGACTCAATTGTGTCAGCTTCCAATATGAACTGTAAAACCCAGTACACTGCATTTTGCCCCATTTATACAATAGACCTTCCAAGGCAAGTTCTCATCCTTGCTGCCAAAATGTGGAGTATCATTCCAGTCAAATGTTAGTAAGATTATTTCACAAAGTGCTCTTTCCCCAAAGTCAAAGCACTATCAAAATGACTTACTTGAGACAATTTTGTTGTAGTTGCAGGCAGAAGTGGACGACTAAACTTTTTCTGAGATCCAATGGCAGCTGGAAATGGTGGTGCAGAAAATACAGCTGCAACACAATTAATTTTGTTTATCCACCCTTGCATTTCCTCTGGACTCCTATGAGAAACAGATAAATTTACATCAGGGTATTTCTCTATCTTAAGTGCATCACACCTTGCCCATTTCTCATTACCCACTTAAAAAGGCAAGTAAAATCATTTTATTTATTTTTCCTGGTACAATTAATTCCTAACAAAACTTCACTGAGATTAACATTTTCAACAGCAATCACCATGGCAATAAGAGGTCCAGGAACCTATGATCATTATAGTATAAGGCTGTGATTATCCTTTAAGGATACAGAAGGGGAAAAAAAAAACCAAAATCACTTGATAATAAATATTAAGTCCCTACTTTGATACTAGGCTCAGTCAAAAATTAATTAAAAAATTAACTCATCTCTTCCAATCACATAATTCAATTTTAAAATCCAACTGAGGGACAAACTGATAGAACTTAAAAGGAATGTAAAAAAGGGAACACCCACTTGGAAAGCAGCTTTAGTTTCTTGAAAAGTTAACTATAAATTTATCATATCACCCAGCAATTCTACTCCTAGGTATATACCCAAGAGAAATAAAAACATATAGGCACAAAAAGATTTGTATGTGAATGTTCATAGCACATGAGTCCAAAAGGGGAAACAATCCAAATGTCTATCAACTAGTGAATGAATAAAACAATGTGGCACATGTCCATACAGTGGAATACTACTCAGCAATAAAGGCATGAAGTGCAGATATATGTTACTACATGGTGAACCCCCAAAAATTTATGGTAAGTGAGAAAAGCCAGCCATATATCATTATATGATTCCATGTATATGAAAAGTCCAGTAAAGGCAATACTATAGAGACAGAAAGGAGATGAGTGGTGTCTGGGGTTGGGGGTAAAAACGGGCAGTGACTACAAAATGGTCGTGGAGGATCTCTTTGGGGTGATAGAAGTGTTCCAAAACTGGATTGTGGTGATGGCTGCACAATTCTGTAAATTTGCTAAAAATTATTGAATTGTACACTTAACCCAGGTAAGATTAATCATACATAAGGTATATCCCAAAAGGATGTTAAAAATCTACCTGTCAGGATGTGAAAATCATCTGATGTCATTAACATACTTTTAACTTGAAATGTCATATATTTGCAGAGACCAGCACTGACAGTGCTTATCCGTATTTGTGAATTCATAAATGAATGGGAGAAATAGTCATGAGCAAGGATAGCTGATCCACCACGTACATATAATCAATAAACAGAAGATGGACAAAATGTCAGTCCACATAAAATACATTTCCTTTACCGGTTACTCTGAGAAATCACACTAACCTGAGACCACACTAGAAATCAACTCCTCTTTGCACCCCAGATGCTTCTCTAATCTGGTTTCTCTGGCTCTGTTAATTCACTGATTTCTGCATCAATTCTATCTGAAGTAATTACAGCTTCTTAGTTATCATATTTGGTATTTTAGTAAAAAAAATGTTGGGGAATAAAATACTTTGAAGGACTCTGATGACTAATAGCTGTAATTATATATCTGGCTATGATTCCCTCTGTGGTGTTAAAGCTGTCTTACTCCCACACCAAAAAAATCCTGTGTAACTTGGATTTCCTTACAGCTTCCTCCTCACCCGATGTCAACAATTTCATACCTCTGCAAATTCAACATTCATAAACCACCAGAGTTCCTGCTGTTGTTCTTATTTCTTTTTTTTGACCTTACATTGCTACAATCAACAAGCAATACTTGTGTTCACTATCTTGATGTCAAATATTAAGACTGTTGCCAACTGAAGTCAATTGGTGGTGTTGTGTTGAGAGTGATTCTGCAGTCAAGCTCAGGCTGTGGAAAGCATGCTATGAAGAATTAACACTGCCACAGACACTGATGCTATGTGTGCGCCTACAAAGATTCCTGTTCTAGAGGCTCAGTTCTGAAAATCCACAGTTTCTCACTTCACAGATCCAGAATTCTCCGTGTGAAGTGCTCCACTTTGAATCTGAAGGCTGTCATGGACCCCTTATTAAACTGGCAATCCATCCCATTTCCTTGCCCACAATATAATTTTATCTTTTTCTTCTAGGTTTATCAAAGACTATTAGAGCTCAGAAGGAAAAGAGAAGAGAGACAGAGGGAACAAAATGGAAATCTACATTTACTGAACAGTTTCTATGTGCCAGGCACTATATGAAGTATTTTATATACTTGATCTCATTTAATTCTCACAAGAACCTTGTGAGATAAACATTATCATCTGCACTAGTGACAAGCTAAGGTTCAGAGAGGTTAAATTACGTGTCAGGACAAAGAGCTAGGAAATGGTGATTTGAATCCACGTCTATTTTACTTATTGTGTTATAAAACTTGTACACCACAACGCTTATATCTTATTCATAAAAATATTAAGGTTCTAGAGATGGTAAGTGGCTGACTGAAAGTCACAGGGCTACTTTGAAGCAAACAAAAAACTTGAACTCAGGGTTTCTATTTATGATTCTAGTTTTCTTAGGTAGTTGTCTCTCTCATGTAACCAGTTAATAACTTTGAATCCAACTCAAATTCCCCTGAAGACTCTGATTCTACTTCTTGGTATAAGGTGGTACTATGCAAACCATGAAACCAAACCAAACCAATGAAACATACTGGGCTTGAAAAAGCAAGACCCTCCAGTCGGCAGTTTTAAGTTTAAGCACATTCGGCTTCTTCTCATAGTCTGTGGCCTTGGATGCCAGCGCATGATGCACACTCACGGCGTTTTTCAAATCCTCTTCAGACAGGGCCTTTTCTGGTTTATATTCATCCTACAGGTGGAAAGATGGATACAAAGAAAACTAAGACAAGATCTTGTTCAGATTTCACCTTCTCTTTTAACGAAGGTAAAAAAAACAACCCCTAAAACTAAAAGAAATTAGAAAATCCATGAAGGTGCATGAAAAAACTGACATGATGTAAAAACAACTCTTTGCTACTTAAGATACCCATCAACAGAATTGTATCGATGGTGAAAACCATGCCATTGTGTTGTTTGCTCTAAAGCTACTCTATTTTCTTGCTACTTTCTTGAGTCTAATATTATCAAACGAAAATGAACCGTAAAATAAAATGATTCCTCTAGCTGTTCTTTGAAAGAAAAGAGGAAAATCAGTTTAATGTTCAGGAGAAGGCTTAGCTGTATTATAATAAACAGGGAAAATGGATAAAATTATATAAAACAGAAGGTATCATGTATAGATGCAATCTTATCTTTGGGCATGAATTACACACAATTTACAGAATTTATAAAGGCTTCCCTCAAAAATAACAATAAAAAAAATCCCAACTAGTACAATAATGAAAATTTAAAGCAAATTTGATTATCATATTATCTATTTAGTAGTTTCCCCAGGTCCATTAGAATAAAAAAGGACTTCAAAGAAAGCAATTAAATATAGTCGACATTACAAATTGTTTTAGGAGATGTTTTCTAGTGTGTAAGTTCCCCTCTTTCTCCTTCCCGTAATCTGTCAGACATGATGCTAAATAAACTTGGATTTCTGTAAAGAAAACACACATAAGCACACATTCTTCTTACCCTCTAATTAGTAAAAAAAAATCCTAAAAGGAAGACATTATCTATTTTCTTATCACAGTCTGGTTTTACAAATTTCCAAAAAAAACAATTACACTTTCTCATACCTCCTACTTCCTTCCCCCATCCCCTGCACAAAGCAAGCAATTCAAATGTACTATTACTATTAATTCAAATGGAGTCAGAAATCAACAGAAATGAACTGTTGATTCTTAATGATCAGTCAGTGAGAGTGCTGAGAGACAAAGGTAAGGAAAACCTAAAATACACAGTAAATACCAATAGGAATATAAAGGTCACCCAAATTTATAAAATTAAATGATGAAATTACTACTTTAAATTGCAACAAGTCTATTTTATTAAGCCTCAGAGATTTAGAACTGCTGTTGACAATGACAGTTATCCAGAGCGGTATGACGAATAAAGAAAGAAAATAGAAATCTTAAAATAAATACAATATATTTATACCTATCTGTTCTACAATTCCCATTAATGCATAAAGCTGTAATCTAGTTACGTTTTGGGGTCTTGTCTTTTTTAAATGAGATTTTTCTTAGTGATTTAGCATTCCAAAGAATCACACATCTCCTTCCAGGGGAACTGTCATTAGAGTAGGAGGTATCAACTCTAGTAGGTAGAGCTCCCCTCCAACCTCATGATTATGCTACAATAGAACCCTGTATTAGCTAAACAGCCACTCATTTTAACCACTTAGCTCCATATAGGAATCTGAAGCAGATAAATAATGGGGAGTGGGGACAAAAGACCAGGGCCAAAATTATTTTCGGAGAATGTATATGTTTGCATACATACTGATTTCCATACATTTGCATACATACTGATCTCTAACACACTGGATATTGGAATCTGCACAGGGATCAGCCCAGAAATCCCTGTGTCATTTTTGATGTCTAGGTCCATGATTTTGCCTTTTACTTTATTTTTTAAAAAATTTTTTAATTGTTATGTTAATCACCATATATTACATCATTAGTTTTTGATGAAGTGTTCCATGATTCACTGTTTGTGCATAACACCCAGTGCTCAATGCAGAACGTGCCCCCTTGAATTCCGATCACCAGGCTAACCCATCCCCCCACCCTCCTCCCTTCTAGAACCCTCAGTTTGTTTTTCAGAGTCCATCGTCTCTCATGGTTCGTCTCCCCCTCTGACTTACTCCCCCTCATTCTTCCCCTCCTGCTATTTTCCTCTTTTTCTTTTTTCTTAACATATGTTGCATTATTTGTCACAGAAGTCCAGATCTGCGACTCAACAGTCTTCCACAATTCACAGTGCTCACCATAGCACATGGCCTCCCCAATGTCTGTCACCCAGCCACCCCATCCCTCCCACCCCCCACCACTCCAGCAACCCTCAGTTTGTTTCCTGGGATTAAGAATTCCTCGTATCAGTGAGGTCATATGATACATGTCTTTTGTTGATTGACTTATTTCACTCAGCATAATACCCTCCAGTTCCATCCACGTAGTTACAAATGGCAAGATCTCATTCCTTTTGATGGCTGCATAATATTCCATTGTGTATATATACCACCTCTTCTTTATCCATTCATCTGTCGATGGACATCTTGGCTCTTTCCACAGTGTGGCTATTGTGGACATTGCTGCTATAAACATTGGGGTGTACGTACACCTTCGGATCCCTACATTTGTATCTTTGTGGTAAATACCCAGTAGTGCAATTGCTGGGTCGTATGGTAGCTCTATTTTCAACTGTTTGAGGAACCTCCATACTGTTTTCCAGAGTGGTTGCACCAGCTTGCATTCCCACCAACAGTGTAGGAGGGTTCCCCTTACTCCGCATCCCTGCCAACATCTGTCGTTTCCTGACTTGTTAATTTTAGCCATTCTGACTGGTGTGAGGTGGTATCTCATTGAGGTTTTGATTTGGATTTCCCTGATGCCGAGCGATGTTGAGCACTTTTTCATGTGTCCGTTGGCCATTTGGAGGTCTTCTTTGCAGAAATGTCTGTTCATGTCTTCTGCCCATTTCTTGATTGGATTATTTGTTCTTTGGGTGTTGAGTTTAAGAAGTTCTTTATAGATTTTGGATACTAGCCCTTTATCTGATATGTCATTTGCAAATTATTTTCTCCCATTCTATCAGTTGTCTTTTGGTTTTGTGGACTGTTTCTTTTGCTGTGCAAAAGCTTTTTATCTTGATGAAATCCCAATAGTTCATTTTTGCCCTTGCTTCCCTTGCCTTTGGCGATGTTTCCAGGAAGAAGTTGCTGCAGCTGAGATCAAAGAGGTTGCTGCCTGTGTTCTCCTTTAGGATTTTGATGGACTCCTGTCTCACCTTGAGGTCTTTCAACCATTTGGAGTCTATTTTTGTGTGTGGTGTAAGGAAATGGTCCAGTTTCATTCTTCTGCATGTGGCTGTCCAATTTTCCCAACACCATTTGTTGAAGAGACTGTCTTTTTGCTATTGGACATTCTTTCCTGCTTTGTCAAAGATTAGTTGACGATAGAGTTGAGGGTCCATTTCTGGGCTCTCGATTCTGTTCCATTGATCTATGTGTCTGTTTTTGTGCCAGTACCATACTGTCTTGATGATGACAGCTTTGTAAAAAGCTGGAAGTCCGGAATTGTGATGCCGCCAGCTTTGCTTTTCTTTTTCAATATTCCTCTGGCTATTCGGGGTCTCTCCTGGTTCCATACAAATTTTAGGATTATTTGTTACATTTCTTTGAAAAAAGTGGATGGTATTTTGATGGGGATTGCATTGAATGTGTAGATTGCTCTAGGTACCACTGACATCTTCACAATGTTGGTTCTCCCAATCCATGAGCATGGAACATTGTTCCATTTCTTTGTGTCTTCCTCAATTTCTTTCATGAGTATTTTATAGTTTTCTGAGTACAGATCCTTTGCCTCTTTGGTTAAATTTATTCCTAGGTATCTTATGGTTTTGGGTGCAATTGTAAATGGGATCGACTCCTTGATTTGTCTCTCTTCTGTCTTGTTGTTGGTGTATAGGAATGCCACTGATTTCTGTGCATTGATTTTATATCCTGCTACCTTACTGAATTCCTGTATGAGTTCTAGCAGTTTTGGGGTGGAGTCCTTTGGGTTTTCAACATACAGTATCATATCATCTGCAAAGAGTGAGAGTTTGACTTCCTTTTTGCCGATTTGGATGCCTTTGATTTCTTTTTGTTGTCTGATTGCTATGGCTAGGACTTCTAATACTATGTTGAATAGCAGTGGTGATAGTTGACATCCCTGCCACGTTCCTGACCTTAGCGGAAAAGCTCTCAGCTTTTCCCCATTGAGAATGATATTCGCTGTAGGTTTTTCATAGATGGCTTTTATGATA